TCCTTAAAAAGAAAATTAAAAAAAAAAAAAAAGCAGAACTGAGCAAGGGGAATGCCCAGAGGCTGAAGTAAACTCCCCGAAACTGCAAAGACTGAAATTAAGGAAATAAAGCAAACCAAAACAAACCGGAATGAAGTTAGAGTAAAAGTAATGCTGAATAGAAAAGATAGTAAAAGGGTGAATGTCTTGTCTGCGATTTTGACAGCCCCAGAAGGTATTAAAATGGAAAGCTTTTGTGAAAAGGTTTTTGTTTCCGTTCTCCACTGGCACGATGCGAGACCTGACACGTGCCTTGCTGGGTGCTTGTTTCGCTTTTGCTTGCAGTCGCCGGGCTGAAGCCCCCGCAGCACACGGCAGCCTGGTGAGGCTGAGGTGTGGGACACGAGGTCGGTCCGCAGCGGAGGAGGATGCGTGGAGCACATCCACTGCTGCTGCTGGGATCTGTAAAACCTTGTCTCAAACCCCAAAAGCTAGGCCTGATCTTGTGGGCTCCTGCTCATTTCCTCTGGTTTCGCAATGGGTTTCTATGGAGTTGCTCCCGATTTACATCAGTGAGGATGTCAGCTGGCCTCAGGAAGCCCGTGATATCGCTGGAGCCTTGCCCGCTGATGCAGGGAGCACAGCGTGTTATCTCGCCAAGTGCTTGAAAACCTGAGGTCAGATTTTTGGGTGGTATAAATCATTGTTGCTTCACGGACTTCATAGCTCTGCCGATTTCTATGTGTGTCCCCCACCCCATCCCCGACCTTCAAGCTAACAACTATTTTTGTGTGGGAAGCAGCAGATATTTTCTTTCAAGAAAGAGGCACTTACAACATCGTGCTCTGGTTTTGCTTAATGTACCACCCAAGTTGTGAAACAATCAGAGCATCTTTTATCTGTTTGGCCTTGGTGCAGATTCACTGTCCTCTTACACAATCTTCCCGCTGCTCTGTCTTCTCCTCACCCTTCTGCTAAGACCCGGTGCAGGCAGAGATACTGTGCGCTTTCATCTTCTGCTGACATCAGTGAAGAGGGGGAGTGCTCAGCATCCTGCTGGATCAGGCCTTTTTCCTTCGCGTTGCAGTTAAATCCTCACAAACTTCAACGAATGCCTTGCTCAGATCTGATTGTGGGTTTTCTTGGCGCTTGCCCACAGCTGTCGCCGGAGGAAGAAGAGAAGCGAAGGATCCGGAGAGAGAGGAACAAGTTGGCAGCTGCCAAGTGTCGTAACAGGCGTCGAGAGCTAACAGAGAAACTCCAGGCGGTACGTGCTGTGCATACATCTCTCCTTCCTTGTTGCCCGCCCTTTGGACCAGCTCACAGGGCATTGCTCTGCCTCTGCTAGCATGTTCGAGGAAGATGCTGCAAAACGCAGGCTGCCTTCTCCATCCAAGGCTGCCTGGTGGCATTGCCGCTACATCAGCGGTGGTGGGCGCTTTGCCCTGGAGCTTGGGAGCTTATATTTCCCATACTGACTGCCCAAAAATGTGCTAGGAGATCTCCTCCCTTCTAGCGTCCCAGCTAGCACCAGTCTCCATACAGCTGGTCTCCCTCCGTAAGGGCAAATAAAGATGCTGATTGCCTCAAAGGCAGGCTGTAAGGACAAAAGCGATGAAGACAGAATCATCCAAAAGCAGTAGAGAACGAGGCAGATGTTATGTGTACCTATCAAAGCTACATCCTCCAGGCTAACCTTTCTCTGGTGGGGGTGACTGATTTCTTGCACAAGGAAAACGCTGCAGAGATGTGTGATCTGGTGCGGTGGGTGAAATAGCCAGTTAAGCTGGAGAAGGTGTCAATGCGGGCAAGCACCGTGGGGTGGGTGAGGGACGGGCTGAAGAGGAGACAATGATGGATTGTGTTGAAAGGGTCTGGAGGGAAGGCTCCAGCACTTCTGCTCAAGAACCAGCCTGGCACTGGTTGTATTCCATGACCTTATTAACAAGCGTGGCGGCAGCAGTGAAAGCACGCCAGTGAAACGTGCTGCCAACTCAAATTCAGGAGGTATTCTCAGTGTAGAGGAGGGAGGATATTCTATAGGAAGAATTTAAGGATTCTCATGTCTAAAGTAATAGAATTGAAAGGGGTGCAAAGTGGGAGGTCATACCCTGAAGGGCTGAGGGTGAGTACTTCTCTGAAACGGTGTGCTTTTCACATGGGAAGGTACTAATTGCTCACAGATTGACTGTAAGCCTTCAGTGTGATGTGACCATGGGAAAGGTAAACGTATTAATCCAAGGATGCATCAAGGGATGATCCAGTGGAGGTGAAAGTGTTAGTCCTTTGTGCAAGAGTCAGGCAAGTGTCAGACCTCCTCTGGAATGTGCACTACAGAAGGAAAATGGAAACGGTTCAGAGATTCCTGTGTGCTGCGTCTGTGTAAGAAATGAAAAGAACATGACTTACCCAACACAACGAATGATGGGAGGAGATCCGAGTCCTCTCTGCTAAGGTGTCTGTCAGGTAGACAGCAAGGGAGAAGAGTTATTCAAGTCACAAGCCAAGACAGAGTGGCAGCTGGTAGGCACATGAAACACAAGATGCTCAGCTGGTGATGACCCGGTGTCTGCGTGGGTCATGAAGAGATGCCAGATGAGAAGTGGACTAGATGGCTGTGTTCCAGGTGAGGAGCAGGGCCAAAGCTTCTGATACTTACTTATTCCCCTTTTATCTGCAGGAAACTGAAGTGCTGGAGGAGGAGAAGTCAGTGCTGCAAAAGGAGATTGCTGAGCTCCAGAAGGAGAAGGAGAAGCTGGAGTTTATGCTGGTGGCTCACAGCCCTGTGTGCAAAATCAGTCCTGAGGAACGTCGGAGCCCACCATCCAGCAGCCTCCAGAGCGTTCGGACTGGAGCGAGTGGAGCAGTGGTTGTGAAGCAGGAGCCTGTGGAGGAAGAGATCCCATCTTCCTCTTTGGTCCTTGACAAAGCCCAGAGGTCTGTCATCAAGCCCATCAGCATTGCTGGAGGTTTTTATGGGGAGGAGGCACTCAACACTCCCATCGTGGTGACCTCAACACCAGCCATCACTCCTGGCTCCTCCAACTTGGTGTTCACCTACCCTAATGTGTTGGATCAGGAGTCTCCTCTCTCCCCGTCTGAGTCCTGCTCCAAAGCTCACCGGAGAAGCAGCAGTAGTGGTGACCAGTCCTCAGATTCCTTGAACTCTCCCACCTTGCTGGCATTGTAATCCCCCTGTGGCCCCCCATTTTGCCAGTGTGTTACATCCCCCCCCTGCACCATGGGGGGAGCCCCCTCCATGGGATTAGAGACAGGCACAGGATCGTTCAAGCACAAGGGCAGCAAGAACAAGGGTGGGGAGGTGCTGCAGCTCCAAGAAGGAGAGTGAGGACCAACGGACCAACGCCAGCTCCCTGGAGGCAAGAAACGGCAAGGATGGGACTGATGCACTAGGACTGTTTGGAGAGGGTGATGTCCCCTCTGTAAGGGACTGCCTATGGAAACCTCTTCACGGCCGTAGTGGACTTGGGGAGCACTCCTGGCCAGGACTGAAGACGAGCTGCAGACAGTTGCTAGTCGTCCCTTTCCTTTGTGAATTGATCTGATCAGTTGTGCTCTGTGCTTAGATCATTCTGGGTAGTTGATCTTACAACTTCTCTCCTTCCTTCTCTCTCTCTCTCTGCTTATCATTTCCAATGTTGTCGATCCCATGACATTTCATCCAGTTGCTCTGAATTCTAAAGGCTTCTTAGGATCTTTCCTCTTGGGACAGACTGTGGGAAACATGTAGGGTTGCCCAGGCAGGAGTGGGAGGTCTGGAGGAGGGAGAACTGAGAGGAGCCTGAGGGCTCAGCGGCAAGGGCAGAGCTTGTAACTCTGGCCTGGGGCACAGACACAGTGAACAGAGACACCAGGAGGCTTAAGCAGAAGCCTTTCTTTTTTTAAAATGTAGATGTATTTATCCCCTTGGGCTCCTCAAGAAACAAGTTAGCATCTCAGGGCCAAAGTAGCGTCAGAGAAGCTGCTGGGCTGGCACTTACCAGTGTCTTTGGCAGGGTTTTACACCGGTTTGGTGGATATCAAATCTGCTGCTTGTTGTTTACTTTTCCTGGGCTGCCTGCTGTCTAGGGAGTATTGCATCTTCTTCGCCATCGGGGCTCCTGACTCAGAGGCTGATCCCTTCCTGTTAGTAAATCCTTCCCTCCCCTTGGCCATATTTGCAGAATATGCTACCGAAAAAGAGGTGGCACCGCATGCCTATAAATCTAGGATGGAGACTGGCAGCAGATAAGAGGGTGAAACTAGCTGGCTGTACCCTTGCTGACTCTTTCATTGTTGGGAAACAAAGCAGTGCGCATCCACCAGTTGATACTAGTGGTTGTTGTTTGCTCAGAGATTCCCAGTTTCCAAAGTTAGGGGCAAGGCAGCGGTCCAACCTCCAGCACAGCACAGGCCACAAGGCACTCCTTACCAGGCAGGAATGGCATGGTTGAAGTGATGACCTGTTTGAACTAGAACAGGGTTTCTGATAACCTCTGGTTACAGATGACAGATTGACAGTGGAGTAAAATTGATTACCATTATTTGCACCTTGGTCTTTGGCCTGTGTTTTTTTTTTTTTTTTGCATTGCAATGGATCTGGTTTTGTTGGGGTTGATTGGCCTGAACGCAAAAAACAAATCAGAGGGCTCTTCCCCTTGGCCCTGGGTCCTTGTCTCCTCTAACCTGTGTTTTTTTTTTTTTTATTGCATTGCAATGGATCTGGTTTTGTTGGGGTTGATTGGCCTGAACGCAAAAAACAAATCAGAGGGCTCTTCCCCTTGGCCCTGGGTCCTTGTCTCCTCTAACCCATGGGCCTGGCTGCTACTACTTAGTGCTCGCAGCGGGCACAAGCTCTCCCGCGCTGATGTTCACTACTGAAAACAGTAACGTGTGTAACCTATTCCTGCTTGGAGCCAAGCTCAATTCCTGTTGATGTCAAGGCACTGACAGACCATGACCATGTGCACAGTAGGATTGCCCAGCTTGCCAGCTAAACCGCTTAGGGGATAGCTCTTTGGTCCTGCCTGTTGAAGCTGTGGTGGCAGCTATTTATTTTGGTGTGAGATTTTTTTTTTTATAATCAACTGAAACCGGGGTATTTCTTGGTCAGGCTGGACCTGGAGAAACGCAATATGCAATTACAGGGCCAGTCCTGCGAGATGCTAAACTGCTGCAGTCCCCACCAACTCCACAGGGAATTAATAGGGTTCAGTCTTGTGGAACCGGACCTTTACTCAGCAGGGCTGGCGTCCCTCAAACCCTGGCCACTGTCCATTCCTTGAATCATTTCAAAGGGACACTACTTTGGCTCTAAAGGTAGGCTTTGCTTTTTTATTGCTACTATTGTTTTTAAATCCAGGTATTTACCAAGCCTGCAAGAAATAGAAAGATACGAGCTTCATAAAGCTGATTGCAATTCAGGCTTTTTCTTTATTGCTTAAACACTTCCATCATTATACTGGTGCTAGAGATCTCACATTGAGCTTACACAATAAGTAAAATTGATAAAAGAGCTCTCTTGTCCTTATACGAACATCAAAACTTCCTTTTTAGTAAAGCAGACCTGAAACTTCCCATAGTTAGCACAGGGGATCCTGTTTTCGTAGGGTTTTATGTAGATGATATCACTTTAGGTGAAACTGCTGCTTCTCTAACTGTCTTCATTTTGCCAGATGCTTGTTTGGGCCAGTCTGGATTGAGAATCTAAAACTGTTCAGTAAAATGTCTCTGCATGTCATTTCCACCCATTTTTGGGCAGAATGCAACACTGACAAGTGGTAAACCCTAAAGTGATGCCGCTACGTCTGAGGCCAGCTGACCAGGCTCGCTGTCTCCCAGGACATAGGAGCATTCCCGCTAGGGGGTGCCCTTTTTAGGGGTTGCAGGATTTCAGGAGCCTCCTCAACCCCGAGTAAGCCTAACTAGTTCCTAGTGGAACAACAAAAACCTGCCTTAGCTTTTGCTCTCTGAATCGTTGCCAAAAGGAGCTGCAGCTGCCCCTTGCCCACTACCTGCTGCCTTGGCATTGACTTTCTCAGAGACAGGGCAGGATGGTCCCCTTCCCTGTCCTGTGATACTGACGGGAGACATGTGAAACTGCCCAGAAACAAGGATTATTTTCTACTGTCCGGGAAAAGCCCCAAATACCTCGTGCCTGCCCGTTTTGTCCCTCAGACCTCTCAGAGGATGTCTGTTGTTGGGACTGCTGGTCTCCTGCTTTCTGTGTTTTGTGGATCAGCCTTATCCTTGTTTAGCTTCTGGCAGACAGGTACAGCTTGAGTGCTGCTGCTGTTTTGGTCTGGCCCTGCGTTCTTCTTTTCAGGTTTACTGGTGTGCTTTCTGGGAATTGACTGTCTTCCTCATCCCCAAACCAGTGTTTTCCATGAGTACCTTCCCTGCCGATCCCTAAATGTACAGTGTCTCCATGTTCTGCATGTAATGAGAATGCGGGAGCTGTTATAACTAGTGTCTGACCAAGAGTTGTTGAAGTCAATAGGAAAAGGCCCAGGGAATTTCAGCTGGCATTGGGTCAACCCTCTAGTGACTGGCCCAATGAAGCCTCTAATAATATCTTAAATTAATCAATGCCAAACTGGGAGGAGCAGTAGCAGCTGCATTGAAGGAAACATTCAGCTTGCAGGTGTTTGCCATTCCAATTTTGCCATCGTTTGTCCTTCCCCTTTCCCAGTTGTGGCATTGCCCTCATCCATTCCTTTCTCATAGGTGTGGAGACTGGGTAAGTCTCAAACTGCTTGTGGTGTGATGGGATTTGGGACCAACATGCTGGGGACAGTAGCTCTCTGTTGTGTTTTTATAATTTTTATTTAAATGATCTGTTTAGTTCATCTGAACCTTTAATTTTGCTGCTTACTGTATGTAGGATCCACCTGGCCTTCATCCTAAATGAAAAGACAAAATGAAAACAAACCGAAGACACCCCCCTCCTTCCTGGTATCTTATTATTTATTGGCAGGCAGCCGTCTTGTGCCTGCTCCAGCAGATCTGCCCACCATTAATTTAACATCCTCCCAACTCACATTCCTGGTGTTTGGTTGTTGCTTCTTTTTTTTGTTTTTCTTTTTGTAGGGTTTTCTTTTTTTCCATTCTAAAACAGACTTCTGAAATGTAAGAAATCTTATTATTATGACACTTACAAGTTCATTTTCATTAGGAAGGCCAAGTCAAACATTTTAAGAGGTGGGGGGAACAATCTACATTTTATTTCTTATTTATTTATCATGTTTACATCTTTTTTTCTGTTTGAGACTTGGATATAATAAAGAAAGCATTAAAAATACTCCAATCTTCTTCTTTTTTTAGGCTAATAATTTTTTTTGATTCTTTAAATAAAAGATTCTGGGTTTTGTTGTTGTCTGTATAAAATGTAAAAAAGAGATGTGTTTCTAAAGATGCATTATCATTCCTCTGTGAACAGTAGGTGGAGTTGAGGACAAATCTCAGAATACAAGATAATAATAAAATCCCATCCTATTTTACTTAATTGTTCCCCTCCTATCCTGTATGATTAAAGGGTTATTCCACTTTCTTGTTTGTGGTTACTTGATATTAAAACCATATTAAAATGTGTAGAAAATAGATATCCAATTGTTTTTGCTCAGTGAGAGGATAAAATGTTGTATATATCTTGACATACTGTGTAGTTCAAAGTAACATCAATAAGGGATAGTGCATCTTTATTAGAGCGATAAGTTACTAGTGTCACTAAAGTCTACTTTAAGATCCTCAGACACAGAAAGGGCCTGATTCTGATTCCACTCTGCTGGGAGCAAAGTGAAAGCATCAGTAGCATTTCGCTGCTGCAGAGTGGGCGTCGGAGGTGGAATCAAGCCTCGGTGATTTATTAATAGGCGACCATAAGGATTATTGAAGGTTTGGGGGCACCGTTATCTTTTTTTCCTCGAAAGTTTTAGATCATGGTTTTTCTTTTTTGTCTGTGGTGAAATAGTTTCTGCCAAGGAGGTTCTTAAAGGTGACTGCTGAATTGGGACCCGTCTTTGCTCGTCGTGATCTTGATATTGTTCTTGCAGTCCCGGAGAATCTCAGCTCTGAGGCATTCTCTCTGGTGTTGTCTCTCTTCTGTTCTTGTTATTTTACTGTAATACAGGCCTACAGTATTTGCACTAAAACAAAAAGCTTGTTAGAGAAAGCTTGCTGCTATGAAAGAAA